AACATCAGGGGAATACACTCGCTTGTCAAATTTTCACATAAAACGGCCAACAAATCCTATTGCGCGGATAGAATAATTCACAACAATTCACAGCACAACACATGTCTCATATCGTGTTTTACTTTTCAGAAGACTTAAGCATGAGGTCTTCATATAATGGTAATTGGCTTAGTTCCTCTATTAAATAAATAAATAATAGTAGGAACCAAAGGCATCCCGTGGTATTGTTTGTATATGTTCATATGGGGCAATAATTTATCTAAGATAAACAATGCAAACAAACCTACGTTTTTGAATATAACGGATTTTATCTTTTTTTTATTTACCTTTAAATAAGAAAATTACCGGGAGCTTTATCAAAACAACATATTTTGATCAGGTTTTTTATGAAAGCATGAAACGTTCGCGAATCAGGTGCAAAACAAGATTTTTTTTGTAAATGTAGTCTCCAAGCCTCATATTATGTTATAGCGAAAGCTACAACCTTACGTCATCTCATATCCAAAATATGACGTTTATTTTAACATTTTGGAAACCTTAAAAATTTCGGAGTTAAAGAAACTAAGGAGTCATGGGTAACATACTTACTTGCAACAAGTTAAATTGTGCCGGTTTCCGCTTGATCAGTTCCCACGGGGTGCACAGAGCAAACACAATTATTTGGTTGTTATTGTCGGAGAGGACTTGTTGTGAAATAAGAAACTGTCAGTCGTACGATGGCCGCCGCCGATAGAGCACGAAGACCTAATATTGCCTCAGCTCTAAACATGTCTTGGTGGATATTGCGCAGAGCTATAAATCAGTGGTTAAGTCACTGCGGTACTTATAGAATTGTCAATTGTGATGCAGCTAACCGCAGTTTAACAAAGACAAATAATTCAATAGAAATATGTGCTTAATACAGAAATTTTATATAATAAAATCGGAAATAACCGATAATGTTTTTGTCACAAACAATTTAGTGTTTAAGGTGTCCGTGAATCAACTACGCGAAGTCTGTTAAATGTTTGTGCAAACACAATTTCAATTACACCACATAGTTCCAAAGGCCTGTTGACTATTATCGGAATTGAGCCATTGGCCACAGCACAGTTAAAATTTAATAATAAATTGATATCGTGATTGGAATGAATGATAATTTTTAATCTAACAATAAACCCCCCGTATAGATACGTCAAAAAGCAATTTATAAGCTGCGACAGCTCAATGCGACAAATTGTCGTCGGATAACGAGACGATGCTTATCTGTGATCGGCCAATTGTAAAGAAATTTATGTGCCACTAGATAACTCGTACACTACGCCCGCATCTCCCAGCTTGTGATCAGAATTGTGCATTATGAACACTTCTGCAACGTGAGTTAGAGTTAGACACGATACATTGCTTGCTTATTTCGTTTCCTTAATACAAAGGCTCTCACTAAGTCTTCGATAGTTGCAACGTTGGTTTTTTTAAAGCTTTTTTCGCGTTTATAATTCCTCGGCCGTGACCAAGAACCGATTGTTATCACTTGATTGTTGGATGTTGGCTGACAACGCGAGCCGAATAGATAGTGATGGAAACACAATGGAATTAAGTTGTGTTAAATCAAACTTGGTTCCATAGATCGTTAGTAGAATATGTAATGGCGGTTATAGTTGGGGTCCCGATTAAGAGAATTATGGATTCATTCCATGAAAATTTAACACTTAGTAACACATACTACAACATTTTAAGCAGGACTAAAATTTTCAAAAATAATAATTAAATGGCACTAGTTTATGGATTGTATCGAGTTTTTGTTTTGATTTCTAACTCCCGACGTTTCAAATGTCCATGGCCACGGGACAGACAACGCAGTTGCACGTCTTCATGTCAAAGATAACCTGGGCTAACATCAGAATTTTTGTTTTCATTTAATATTTATATATAATATTCGCGTGAAATCAACATTTCAAAAATACGTTCATGATTACTTAAAAATTGCTAAACACCGTATTCCTCAAGTTTTATTTTACTATTCCAACTTTTTTAGAATTTTGCTTTGAATTGAAAAAGTGAATATAGGATTGAAGAAATTGACGAACAAAATCATAATAAAGTAGTTATTGTGTTGTTGATTGAGTAAATATTTAAGTACAAATCCAGTTTCTTATGTTGAATGTTTGCCACACAAGCTGTTGCTGAGTGCGAAATGTGGTGTCTGCGAACATCGTTACTCTTCAAATTAATCCGAGAGCAGCCAAGAGGTCCACGCGGTAGACAGGACTATCCGCAGCGATTGGCACCCAGCGAGGTGTAAAGCCGGTATTTATTAAGCCCGATAACATCCGAGAGCTCCGAATCAAGCCCGTGTCGCTGCGGCATAGATCGTATAGGAATATTAATGGCTCGAGTTGCGGTATGGGGTGTCTGTGGGTAGATTTAATCGCTTAGGGCTGCTGCGGTGGCGATTTAATAACTTTTTAATATATAATACGTCCTATGATTATGGTGACATCCTTTCCCTTATGTTAATCAAAGCAAAATTTTTATTAATGTACACTATAAATACTTTTAAGGGCTGTAGTGCACATGACATGGTAAAATCAACTTGCACATTGTTCACTACACGTGAAGTTTTAAAAGCAATATATACGTATCCCGTCAGAATTGATAAGCCATACATTTAAAGTGTGTAGTAGCAATAGGCCAATATGATTAGGATCTAATAGAGGTTTAGTTACATATAAAAGAGAGATGGTGCATTTAAAGTTCTCGACATAATTCTGATCAGATTGACAACATTTCACTTCTTTGGCAAAACACGCGAATACTGCGCTGTTAAATTAATAATATCAAGCGCTATTACAGCTCAATGGAAATTGGTAAAAATAATGACTACAGTCACAAACAGAAGTATTTACAGTTTAAATGTTCATATTGAACGAATGAGTTTCATTTACTTTGTATAATAACAAGAAATTAATAATTTAAATGTTCGTTTAAATTCAGCGCCACCCTGGTAATACCGGTTTTCATACCGCGAAACGCATTACGGTTAATTCAGCAATAACGTTTAATGCTCTGTTTATGCTCTACAGAATGAGGTGTCACATTATGGTAATATATTTAAGTAACAAATTATTGCAATGTATATAATAATATAAGTGGATTAATCTCTGCAGACATAGTATCTTATTGGGCTAAGCGACTGATAGTAGGATTTATATCAATTTTCCTAGTAGTAGTGCAGTGTTAACGCGCGGAATGTCACTTCAGCTTAGTTAATCAGCGTTTTGAAGGTTCACTGTAATTTTTGTATAATACATCAACTGATCATCAGATCATCCGTGTGTCAGTGTATAAATGAGGCGTGGGTAACAAAAAAAATTATAACATGGAACTAGGATAAATAGAAAAAAATTGGTAACGGTAAAAATTAAATAAAAAGATATTGAACATATCTCACCAATTAAATATAACCTACACTTTCAAGTCATCTAAGGTAGGAATGGATATAGAAAATAACAAATTACAAATATCATAATTTTACTTACTGAGGAAGAGTTTGGCTAATTGATGGCACATTATCCTCATAATCGAGTTCTGCTCATTAACGATACTGTTGTAATGATATCTACAATATATAATGCTATTGCCGCCATCTATGTTTTCGTATGTTGTCTATGTAGGTATCATATTTTAGTCTATGAATAAAATAGACTTTTGTCTGTCTTTGTAAGTGACTTTGTTGTTATTCATTAATTTTTTTCAATTAGAGTCGCTATTATTATTGTTTTTCTCTGTTCATGCCACAGCGGCTTATCGTATTTCTATTGAATTTGGAATGTCCCATACATTTTCCAATAATTAAGAGCTTGTTGCGTTTAAGAAAATAAGGGTGAAATTTCGAGTAAAACTAGCAGAAGACGAGAATCGATTCGAAACTCGGACACAGCCCTCGCATGCGGGGGTTGAGTTTTGGCACGGGTACGCACGCCCGGGGCTGGGGCCGTGTCACAGGGCCGGCTTTGTTCATATTTATGAAATGAACTCCAGATAGCGGCACTATTGCCCACCTCCGCCTATAACTCACTTTTGTATCGCCGGGCTCAAGAAGTACAGGGCCGGTGCAGTTTGCGTTCCATTGCCAAATGCCCGATGCAATTTTTGAATTGTGCTTACTGCGGATCGTGGATGTATGTACATAAGAGAGGTTATACTGCATTGTGCATGTTACAGGTATACGGTCATTATTGCACAATGGGAGAAATTTGTTTCACAAAACATTGACGGGGAAAGCTGTGATTGTTTGGAAAATATATCGCGATTATTTGAATGATTCATATGTTTATCTTTTGCATTCATAAAACGACTGTTCAAAATTAAATCTGATTTTTTTATGTGCGATCGTGACAAGTTGGCAGTTCACCTGATGTTATATGATAAGCCCCGCCCATTGACATTTGCAACACATAACTACCCTACGGCCCTACACCATATGTTATACATATGTGGTAGGGCCACGTAACAGTCCTCGCTGTTGCACGACTTGGTCGGCGGGAAGTGGAAGAATTATACTTGTGCGTATCGTCTGGTGAGTAATTGGGGCCTTTAAGACGATTTTTTAAACATGAATTATATTGGTAAAATGTACTTCAATTTAAACGGCATAACTAGATAATAACTTGGTGAATTAAACTGTCGCAAAATTTGACGCCACTGTCAGCTGCATATTGAATATTAAAAATACATGATAGCCATTAACCAGAAAAGTAAAAGGATAAATTTACTGTTTTTGATTGAATCAAAACCAAACAAAATGTCAACCTTATCCTTCAAATATACAGAGCCCCGCAGATCCGTTGTTGGTGATGGATCAATTTGTATCGCCGTCCCTCTAAAACCTTCATGACCATCCGCACAGAATTTACGACCTAAAATCCGCAGCGTAGAGATAAATTCAGCTCATATGAGTTCCGGTCCGATCTAAAGTCGCAATAAACCAGTAGATGGGAATTGGAAGCGGCTAGCTTAAGATGGCCCGTATCCCGCTCCTTGGTTTCGTCCGTTTTATCGTACCGCCATTCGGTTTGGAGCGGTACGGCGGACCATTTTATTTTGGGTGAGTTCAGTTAAGCTGTAATTGTATGTAATTTGTGCGCATGAGATGCGGTGTGCCAAAGCTTCGTTAGTAGCGCGCGGGGTGCTGAAGTCCATTGTCAGCGTTCGCTTGTCTTCGTTGCGTGTTAAAATTTCATTACTGCTGTAATACATAGGCACTATAGGGTAATCCCCGGTAATAACTAGGGATTATCCTATAGCTAACTTTACAAAAGAACACGTGCGATTTTGCCTATAATTTTTTTGGACATTAATTGCTCTCCATAAACAGCATATAAATAGCTTAAAATCATATGATTTAATATATCTAGATTAAACATTTTTACGTATACGTTCTTATTCACATAATTTCCGTTATCAATACCATAATTTTGCCTTAGTAAAACTAATCGCTTATTTAAAGAAAACGACGAACATAAAATCCCTTTCATTGAAATTAAAATCTGGTAAACGTCCGGAGATATTCTTAGTATTAACGGTCCATCAAACTTAAACCAATGGTGCAGCTAGAATTAACGTCGAGTCCAATTTGTTTTCGCAACAAACACTCATTAGGACGGGGGGAAGCAAATTTGGCGCGCGACAAACGCGCTACGGGCTTCCAAAGTCCGCCGTACGTTAATTCTGCCTAATCCAGGTGGAATTTCAAATCGGCAGCGGAGTTGAAGAGATTCCAAATGCGCGTGGGGCGTCGTTAGGCTGTGCCGGCGGGGGGCGACAGAGTTTATTTACCCTGGCCATTAGACGCCTAATGAGACACCTTTCGCTGCGATTGCGACTCGAAGCCGTTTCGGTCAGTTTATCCGGCCGATCCGACCTCCGCGTTTAGAGCCTAGCCAGTACATTTGTACGGCGGAAAGAAAAGGGCTAGTTTACACCCAGTGAATAATGTACAAGTTTGTACTCTCTATTTGAAAATGAACATAATGATCAGAAGTCATCGCTAACTTATTGGCTGTGTCTTTGGACCCGCGACCTAAGGACGGGGTGAGGAAATTGTATTGTATATGTATTTATTTACAAAAGAAAAGTATGTTTAAGTATGTTTATCAGTTATCTAGTATCCATAGTATAAGCGTTGCTTTGTTTGGGACTAGACAACGTTGTATAAAAATGTGTCCGAAATATTTAATATTTATTTAAAAAAATTATATTTCTGTTTTTGGTGATGACGTTCTTTGCAGGTGACTGTGATTAATGCCCAAGTGATGATGCTATCACCGTCACTTGTGCATTAACCGTCAGTGCGATTTTTCATCAAGTAATGAAGTTAATGAGTAAAATGGTTCTGAAGAGCGTTTTTTAGCCTCAAATAAGTTAAATACTTCACTTTTTATACATGCTACGTCAGCGTTGTTACTTATTAAAACTACATTAACAAATTAAAAAAATAACTGTTACTCTAAAAATCAGTGAGGTTGTTATCTAGAAACGTAGGTTACGACTAACAGATAATTATAAAAAGGTCTTGCAGCTTGAAAATCGATGTGGGCTAAACTAATTTAATGGGCGAACGTTTGTAGAAGGGCCCTTATCTTCGCCTAGGCACCGGGCCAACGTGCCTCGTGTTTCCGTTCCAAAAGCGTCCCCCCCGCGAATTGGGCCCGCTGAACTTTCGGGCCCAATTCGCCGCGAGCCCATCGCGGATCGAGTTGAAGGCTTAACATTTTTCCCGTCAACCTCGCAGCGAGGACGAATCGGATCACAACAAACGGCCGCCCATTACGGCGTCCGCCGGGCCCCGCGCTATCGCCCGCCCCGGCCGCCCTTTGACAAAGTTCTATTAGCGTAAAGACCCTATCTTTTTGTCGTGACTTTTGCAAATTAAGCTCATTAAACAGAGCGGGCACTCTTATCAACTCGGTCTGCATTCTTTAACAACTTATTTCCTAGTTGGGCCCCGCCGGAGGGAGTTCGGTAAGGTCACAGTGTAAGGGAAACAGGTGAGTCTACGTATTGGCTTTCTTGATATATTGAGTTGGGTATGTATTCAACAAAAAACAATGATATATAATCTGTAATTAATAAATTATACTAAAACGTGAAACAAAAACATTGTAACCCTTTTTACGAAAATTACGTGGACGGAGGAGTATGAAATTTGCCACACTTATAGTTTGTATAGAGAAGAGGTGCCGAATGCTAATATTTTTTTACAAATTATGCATAAAAAATACATTAAATCAATATTCAATAATTAAAATACATTAAAAATCAAAAATAAAATATAGGAAACATTACACACACTACCATGTAAGTTATCACGCTCTTGTGCATTGTATTTGACAATAGATTAATATTGTTCAAACTTACAATTTAAATTAATTATGGTCGAATTTTGACCACTCGGCGTCTACTAGTTTAAATAAAAATGCACGAAAAGTTTATTGCCACCATGGGAGTCGAACTCACGCCGTCCGCTTTAGCCACTAAGCTAAACGGCTGATTACCACACTGACGAAAATCTCAGCGTATTTTATTCACATTGTTTTTTTGCATTTTAAGCAATGCTTGGCGGATATTAAGTACAGGGATTAGGTAGTACTATAAAAACTTAATGTAAAATTAAATCATTTATTATTATAAAGGTGCTTTAAATTGGCCCAGCAAAACCTCGCTATTAAACTTCTATTCTTTCCTGTGTAAACAAAATACATATCTACAAAAATGGAGTGCAGCGCTGTTACGTACACTGTGACTATTTCTCATTCGGCAAACTAATCTCTGTTATTACGCATATAAAAAGGTAAAAGAAAACAACTTCTTTAGTAAATTTCATGGCAAATGAAATTTAAATTAAACAATTTTGAGTGGGACGATAAACGGGGAAAATAAAACATTTTCTAGTTCAGTTTACATTTAATTCTATTTATATTAATAATGATCGTGTATCTTTATTATAATTTCAGGTTAGTTACATAATAGTTCTCATTTCGCTCGTCACTATATTGACCGATGTTGACCTCACGGCGTGAACATCTTGACATCTAAGTTCGTTCTATTGCATTTTTAGCAATGATTGGCGCCGTCGTGACTATTTTTCACATGCGAACGCATTGTGATATATATAATAACTCTTTTTTTACTTGAGACAGCTCATTTTTAAATCAATATGCTCATATTAAAATTAATAATAATTATGAATATAAATATTTTGAAGATATGCGCAGTCCGCTAATCCGCTTAGGGGTCTCATGGCGGATTTTGTCCTAATACCGCAGGGTATATAATTGATATATGCTGTCACCATACATTTTATATAACTACTAATTATTAAGTAATACCTACTGGTATATAAAAAAGTTAACAAGAATCATATTTATAACATTACATATTTATAAACCCAACCGAGAGAAGGAAACAACTGAATATCCCCAATTATAATAATATTAAGAAAAAAACTATTTTGATTGAACTTAGTATATATCATCAGTGTCCATGGACCTTTGAGGAAAATATTAGGCGGAGTTGAAGGTTTATTACCCTTAGTCAGTGATTAAAGTGATCATAAGGTTGCGAAATGAAAATCATTTATTACGTGACCGGCGCAAATATTTCCCTCCTCGGGGTGGAAGTTGCTAGAAAATTTAAGTAGATTTCGCGCCGTTCACAAATCTCTCGGTTGCCAGAAGAAGACGTGTTGGGAGACATCATAAAAGAAATGTTACCAGTGATGGGAACACATACGCGACTAGTATTATTCTTTCAAGACCTAAAAATGTAATACGGATATTGAAAAGACAATTTTACTTCGATTACGTCGTTCCATAGAGATCGAGATTTATTATCCTGTCTAAATCTTGACGGCATAATTATAATAACGATGTCAAACTAGTCATATTGCTTAAGAGAAAATTAAAAAAAAATTAATCTTTCGCAGCGACAGGTATTTTAATAATGTATTATTTTTTGAAGCCAACAACTTAATCTAACCAAATTGAAATTCATCTTTACATGTATCATGGTATCGCATGAATATGTAATACATTTGTACAATTGTGAAATAATTAAAACCTAGTCATAGAAATTGAAAATAGAATTAAAACGAGGGTAGTATTTATTAAATAAATTTTCCTCTTTTAATAGCACTTCCTTGGTTATAGAATAAATGTAAACTTTGGGACCTTTGAATCGAGATTTATCAATTTCTCCACCAAAAGGCCTTTCCAAATCAAAGATTAATAAAGTCATAGGCTTGTTCAACTCATCGCAATGTTTGAAGTTAGCTGCTATTGTATGTAATACAAAAAAATAAATACAGAAGCCATCAAAATTTTATATTAAAATTTAATGTACTAAAATATGTCGTTTGGTTGAAAATTTTATCACCTGTGTGTTCAATTTTTCTGACTAATTATGTCTGGGTAATTGTTATAAAGGTCGATGGTTTGTCCCGAATAACAAACAATAACAAACAAGTAAATGGTTTTATATCAACGTTTCATATTTTTTTCGTTAATTTCTCGAAAACAATGATATACCGAAGGTCTTGTTAGCTCAATTTCTCGGAATTTTGTACAATTTAAGGATAGATTTGATCAAGAATATTTCGACCAGACGTATGGGCGAACGGCTAAGTGATTAATGACCTTATTATATTCGATTGGGTTTGTCACCTAGACGCTATGTTTGGGCATTATTATTACATTGATCTTTGTCAGACCGGGACAAAAACGTTCCATTTGAAATTCTTATACAAAAACAAAAGATGCAGAAGTCAAACAAGACAAAAAGTTTACACGAAGAACAAATACAAAAAACTATTTAGGAACTATCTTAAATGTCGCTCTAACAATAACTTTACTGTCGCTTTTGTACATAATGTTTACTTTAGGATTAACAAATTACGATTCGACAACATCACTTGCACTCAAGGAATTTAGAGAACAAACATCTTAAAATATAAATTCGTTATCACGGTTCCTCGAAAGCTGTGTGGTAAGCTGTACTGGTATCATTCAGTTGACGGAGTGCGCAAATAATATCATCAAGTTATATAAATAATATCAAAGTAAAGCATTAAATCGAAACAGAATCAAGAAATCTAGCGTCAGCGTTAACCTCACTCGACATGGGGTTGACACTAGCTAGGAAGATAGAATCGGGCTTGTGTTGTTTGCAAATGGTATTATCAGCGCCGCCGCGGTAGAACAGCATAATTACTGGTGCCGCGTGGCTTGAATCCCGGCGTCAGAGACACAGGAGCCAATTGTAATGAACAATGCCTACTCCATGCGCCGCTTTCACTTCTTAATTGGAGTCGGCTTGCTTTATTATCGGGCGTATTGCGAGTGCATTGCAACCAAGTGATTTGAATAAAAGCACACCTTGGTATGTGGACTCAGCTGTGGTCGTACTTGCGACACAAATATCCGTATTTATCCATTACATAAATTTTCCTAATTAATCCATTAGAGTAACTACTAATTATTAAAGTTACCTCTTTTTTATCTGCGAAGGTGGCAAAACACCTGGCGTTAAATTTATTACTCATCAGACGAAACGCAGAATTATAAGACTTCCACCTCAAGCTGGTCTTCTGTGAGGTTGTGGTACTTACTAGGACGGCCCCGCACATTCTTGAAACAAAGAAGACTCTTGTGTGACCCTCCAACAGTTCTTCAATTTTATTTTAATGGAATGTAACCACCCAAATCTGCATTTGAAAACAAATTATGTGCCTTAATTGTGTTGGTTGAAACCTGTCAATATCAAATAGATTACCAGCCTAATTATGTTTATTGTGATGCAATATTTATTTAAACACATCATATGAAGTCTTATCACAATTTCTGAGACCATCATTACAAGTGATAATTGTTATTCTTTTGTACAAATAGCAGTCTTCTTCACCAGTACGAATTAACAATACTTCAAGACCACGTTAGCACATCACTAAAGGCTAGCGATAAAAACCGAATGTTTTCCTCTTCCCATAAGATTATAAAACTTGTTTACGAGCCCCCGCCGCCTCAGGATGGCATAAAGGCGTCTTTCACACGAAATATGAATATATCGGATTCCTTCAAAGGACTGCGGGATCCGGCGTTTCTTTTTACACGCCATTGCGGAAAATAAACGTCTTATGTTTTTATTTTTCCTTTCACGCTTCACTTTGTTGTTTAATAAGTCGAGAAATAGCATTAATAAATTGAAAATTGTTCCCGAAAGCAGTGAGGCTTACGCGTTAAGGAATAATACAATATGAACGATATCATATTACTTATCTCAATTTCGGAAGATTTTAGTATTTTCTTCTATTAAATGTGTGGCTCACATTTATAAAATTATAATGAGCAACTCGTATCACTTATTATGACATTAGAACCCAAAATTTGTCAATGATATAACAATAAAGGAGAATGGTGCTAACTTTCCAAAATTTAGATGAGCATTTCACACAATAATTAGTCTTCTACCTGTGAGGCAAACTCGTTAAGGCTCAATATACGAGATGATCTACACGAACAAATTTGCCTGCTCAAATCGGACCATGGGATATAAAGTGTATCAATAAGAGCGATATAGATTCCCCCTCCATCTCGCATTACCATTAGCGGTCAATCACAATCATCAAACTCCTCGTTCGCACGTTAAAACCATCGTAACGAACTCATTAAGGCTCGCGGTGGGAAAGGCTAACCATCGATCGGTGTCGCCGATGCCGCTCCTAAGCCCGTAGTTAACAAGAGTTTACGTTGTTCCTCTGATTAACATAACAACTGCATTAACATACGCGGTTGCCTCATTACTGGGTTTATCGTATCGCGCAGCTATGCCGGCCGCTTA